TGTCTGGGCCTGGACATAAAAGCTCCTCTCCTCATGCACCGGGGGATATGCTAACAGAAGATTCCGCATATGCTTCCTGTTATCCTGTAGGATCAGCCATTAATACACTAATATAAGACAAGTAAAGCCTGTGGGAGTAGCACTTCCAAGTGCTGAGATATTCTATCAAACACAGGCTATTCTGATCTAGACGATAAGAACAGACCCACTTCCTCTTATGCTGGTGATCAAATACATTTTAAACCACAGGTACGATGGCTGCTTAGGACAAAAGTCTAATTCAGCCCAGTATTTGGGATAATTCCCTACCTCAGTGTCAAGGGAAACCTCGACTAATGGTACGTGTCTGTGGCAACTCAGCTGAATGGGCAGAGTTGTCCAAAAGGAAAAAAACAAGGCACGATCTTTGTCTCTTGTGACTCTGTAGTGGGACATGTCTCTGTAGTGGGACAGCACCTCCAACCTTATTCTCCTCTCTTCACTGGGTTCATGTTGGGTAGAGGACAAGAACACCCTATCCCAGCTGCGGCAAACTAACTCCATGCATATCCCCTTCCTGATGCTTTGCAGTCCCTCCCCGGCTGACCCTGTACTGTGATGACCACGGGAACCCCGTGTGCGAGGCAGCAGGAGGGAAGCCGGCTGCTCAGATCTTGTGGGTCCCAGAGAGCAACTCCACCCCCAAGGAAGAAGGCCATGATGATGGGACAGTGACCGTTCTCAGCAAGTTCACAGCATACAGCTCCAATGTGACTAATACGACCTGCATTGTGTCGCACCCAGCGGGGAACCAGAGCAAGTCCATACCCTGTCATCCCTCAAGTAAGTTTCCCTTTGCGCGCTTGGCATTCAACATCCTGGTTAGACTCCTGTGCACCCTCTTGTTCCTTCTAGGAAGAAAAAAAAATTTATAAAAGCTATAGAAACCTTTAGCAATGTACTGTATAGACAAGAGCACCATCCCCAAAGGCCTTTGCCCAGAAACATGACCAGCTTGTTTGTGTTCTAGACACTATTTCCTAATGATTTCTTCCCTAAAAGGGACATACATAATTGTAGTAGTATTCCTTTGATAGCAGAAATATTGTTGGAAACAGAGACAAAACAGTCACGCTCATAGTGTTAAAATAACCACTTGGAAGCTGAATATCAGCAAAATTTTTTTAGGTTCAAATATAAAGTCTCTTGCTCAGATCACGGTACGATAGAGAAAAAGAACCAACTCTTCTGTGGCCAGCAGAAGCAAATAATTCACTTCATTTCAACTTGTGAATGTCTGACACTGTATGACATTTGGTTTCTGGTTTTTGCTCTTTTTTTTTGTTGATTTTGAGAGCTACATGTGAGTTGCAGTACTGAGATATGCTGAGTCCTTGAGAGGAGCTCAGGTATGGCTATGGAAAAAATACCATGAGTGTCTGCTTTGGGATTTGTGGGATCTGCTTTTCTGTCTGACACAGACTCCATTTGTGTTTCTCAGACAAGTTTCATTACTGACTTTCCCTTCTGCTGAAAGGGATGATATTTATTTTACCAGCATGCTGAAAATGTGTGTATGTGCTAAAGAAGCTTTAATCTTATACTGAAATAATAGAGAAACTGCGCAATAAGAAGATACAACTAAGACTAACTCTTTGTGTTTAGAGAACGGATTTATCCGGAATGTCCCCATCATTCTCTGTTTCCTGATCATTATCACCTTCATGGCTGTCATTTACTATTTTAAGCTCCACAGTGGCAGGTATGTATGATAGGGTGCTAAGGAAAGATTGTGTAGCCCTATAAGAAATCTTTAAGTACGATTTGTGTCTTGAAATCATATGATTCTGTCAATCTGTGCTGCTATGAATAACAGAGTTAACTACATCAAATATTTCTATACTGCAGACACTGTGCATTGCACACATCTTCACTGAATAATGCACCTGAGTAAAATAGAAATGGGCAGAAGTTGGCAGAGGACCCTCATTGCATTGCCTGCAACACTAAAGCTCTTCATTCTAATAGGAAACTGTGAGAGTAAAGCTGTTCTTCAGATTCTGTGATAGTCCGCCAGTGTCTCTCTTGTTTAGATCAGGGGGTTGGTTGTGCTGCCTAATAAGTTCTATCAAGTGCCAGAGGACTTACCGGTGCTATCCTGCCATATCAACAGAGGGGACAGCAAATTGTATCTGTATTTATGAAAAAGCTCCCTGAAGGAAGCTGAACTCTAGCCCCTTTAGGATTTGCTGTGAAGAAAAAAGCAGTTCCAAGGAAAAACTGCAGAAATAATTTGTGCAGAGAAAGGCTGTGTTAGCACCTGTACTGAAAACTTCGGCTATATTCCCTCTTTCTCCTATTTCAAAACTGTTTTTCTCCTGAACCTTCTCCCTCAGAGCTGAAGAATTAGTTCAATACAATCTCACTAACCACAAATTGTACATCCTTCCAGAGGACTTTGATTTTAATCTTCTGCTTCCTCTTTGTGCTTAAGCTCACACAAACATGAGAAAAGACCTCTAAAGAAAGTCAGAGTGCCATAATTTCAGGATCAAAAGTCAAGGTGAAAGAGTCATGAGAAGACTTTTTGGCTTTACTCTTGATGACATGAAAAAGAAATGTTTCATCAGTTTGTGATCAAAGAAACCAGGCTGTGATCCAGCGAGACCTAGAATTGAGGAAGGAATTTGTTTTAATACTGGTTTTCTTTTTTACAGACTGTGCCACAAAATCAAACCTCCTGAAACTGCTCCTACATATTCCCCACAGGTAAGGATAATGATGCAAATAAGACCATCGCCAAATCAGAAATTGTCTGGTAGCCCTGAAAACATGGTCAGTAAAGGCAAACCATTAGATTTTTCCTCTCTGCTTTCAGCAGGTGCTACTGTGTCTTATATGTTTGCTTTTAGCTGTATCTCAGGACAAAACAAAGCCTACCATCACCATAATTTTGACTTGGAGTAAACATTAAAAGCATGTTCCAACAGCAAAGGCTCAGCAACTACCATCCTTATCTTAGCAAGGAGTGATTCCCACCATATCTCCCTGGTCATATCAGATACGCTGACCACAACTGCGGTACAAACAGTACTCAGGAAGGCAGGCAATATCATGGGTTTGGAAGTACTAAAAAAGCTATTAGGAAACAGGAGGATTAAACAACAAAATTAACAGACACAGGGAGAAAAAGAATATTCCTCCTGGTGTCCAGAATGATAATGTGCAAGTTTTGAAGGCCACTCTTTATTTTCTATGGTCAATCCACAATCAAAGAACCAACCATACTTAAGACAAAACATTATATAAAACAGTGGAAGGAGTGCTGAGCTGCAAGCTGTGAGGCATTCTTGAATTCCATGTGCTGTTAGAAGCTTCCTGCGTAGTTGAGCAACTCGCTTATCAGGTCCGTTTCTCTGTTCTCTGCTACCAAATATACCTGCAGGCAAGGTCTGTTACATCTATACTGTGAATATTTGCGCATCAACTTAAAAAGATGCTTCAGTTTGAGTTTCTGAAAAGACTTAGTCAATTCTAGCTATTATTATTTCTCCTGTTCTGGTGCCCTACCTCCTAGTTGTTGCTGACAGATACGGTTGCATTAATGTAAAATAATGAGTTAAATACCAGCGTTCTTGCTGTCACATCACACAACTTTCATTAGCGTATCTGTAGACTGAAATTGCAGACTGATGGAGGAATCAATCATGGTCAAGACTCTAGCATGTTATTTGCTTTTTTCTAGAGAATTAGACCTTAATACAAATTTTTTCAGGCCAAAATAAGGGGTAGAAGGGAAGAAAAAGGATGCAGGTGAACTAGTACCTCAGATTTACTCTCCAAATCTTTGACAGAAACAGCAATACACATCCTTAGGTAGAAAAAGCAATAGGTTTTTTTTTTTTTCTTGAGTCCAAGAGGAGTAAATATGGGAGCACTATTTCCCAGTTGCATTCATCAGTCCAGATGAAAAGCTTGCAGATCTTGCCAAACTAAACCACTCCTTGTATTTACGGTTTTTGGTTTTGTTTTGCTAGGATGACACAATGGAAGTGGAACCTTATACTACTTATGTGCAGAAGGAAAACGAAATTTACAATTCAGTGTGTGATCTGACAGTGGGGCAGACTCTTCCACAAGGACTGTCACCAGCAACATGAATGACTCAATAACACTGGAAAGGGAGGGAGACACTTTATAAAAGACTGGTTATAGAAAGAAACTTCTCAGAGGATTTCTTCAGATTTTGGGGCAACATAGCTCACTAAGTCTGTTCAAACGCCTATGCTTGCTGATGAGTTTGTACAGTTTTTTATTTCCCTGTTTTGCCTTCTTCCTTGGGAAAGGAAACAGGTTTTCCTGTTATTCCTTGGGAAAATGTGGTTGATCCCATGCCATGGTTTTTCCTGGAAAAGCTGTTGTGATCTCTCTTCCCTTTGTTGTTCTTGCCTGGGGGATCCTAGTTTTCTCAGTCACTGCTAGGCATCACTTTGATGCACTTGACACTATGTTGCATACAGTTGGGAGATGGGAGGAGTGTTATGTCTGAACTAAAATGAAACACTCCACAATCAACAGCCACTTTTTTCTAATTTACAAGTTACTAACATAGTGGCCTAAGTACTGATGATCACAGAATAGCTCAAACGGTGGAAGATATTGGTAGGAAAGACCTTGACTCCCCCAGTTCTGAAAATGGAAATGAATGATGAATTTAGAAGGTCATCCATTAAGAAACAGACTTCACTAGCATGATTAATTTACTTGCTAGGTTCATATTCAGTATTTCTACTAAATGTATTCATTCTGTATTTCAGATTATTGTTATGATTACTTTCCCATAAGATTCTGTGAAAATATGGTATTCCTCTCTTTCTTAAGAGTAATGGCATTAAGATACTGCAAAAGAATTACATTACTCAAATGCCGTAAGCTACTTTTAACAGAAACAAACATCAAATATTTCACAAAACAAAACAAGTTCAAATATATCTTCTATAATTGTGCAATAATGTACAAAAAGGATAAAATACTTGCTAATTCATCATATTTAACTACCACAACCGAAGATTTTTTCATTCATATGTCTAGATGCTTTATTGACACTCTTTTGAATATACTTGTAAGTTCACTTTTTTGTATGTAAATTAGTTTACAAATTTAACGTGTCTCGTGTTGAGGTGACTTCTTCTCACCTTCTCAAAATATCCTTTGGGAATAAGTCAAATAAATTGTCCTTTATATACTAGCGGTTCTCAAACTTTTTGGACTGATGCCTTACTAGCTAAAGTATGAACTGGCTTTACAGTGAGAGTAAAGAAACCCATTTTTAAACCTCTGTTTACTATCTCATATTTCAGTATTTTAAAAGACTGCCTGGGTACTTAGTCTGATGGTAGGATGACAAGAACTAGATTTTTCCTTTAGACTATAGAAATGTCTCTGCCACACATTGCTAGAGCTTTCTTTTGAGATAGCCTCCCGAGGGCTATGGCGCAGTGCTTGGTGAACAGACTTCTAGATTGATGGCAGTTCCTAAATGTATTACTCATGTAAACTGATACAATTGGTTATTTATTCTCACTCTAGCAGCTACGAAACACCCACTTTTGTCCAGGTGCTCTCTGCATGCCATTATGTTATTTCAGAATGGAAGGGAACAAAGCTGAGTGTCAAATCAACTACAAAAAAGTTTTAAAGGAACCTCAGTTTCCAGTGACTTACCAAGGAAGAAAGCCAGTCAACTCAGCCATAATCCTCTGAAATTCCCCACTTAAAATAGCTGTAATACTGTCCAATGATCTTTCTTCCCACCCAAAACCCGAGTGCCATCAGTTCTTAGGTTTGTTTCCGTGGACTGGAAAGTCATTTACATTCTTCAGTGTCCATAAAGTGGGGCTCATCCTATGAGACAGCAGCTCTTGAAGGTAGATTCTTGCCAGTTTACATGGAATATAACATATTTACAAAAGTGTAATACCTGCTAGCCTGCTGTCTAGCTGTGGGGGGTTATGATCCTTTACAGGCCTATTACACTGACCTAAATCATGTACGTTCCTGACCTGGATGTTGCCAACTGGTTGATTATTTCCTTTGTCCTCTACTATGTTTCTTACATTCAGGTCTGCTATGGGCAGAAACCAGGATTTTAGTTTGTGACTGTGATAAATAATATAAGAGTCTTATGTATACACACATATAAAAAAATGCTTTTTTGTCTCCAGCAGCACAGAAGGTCTAGAGCAGAAGGTCCCTTCCTGCACTCCTCTTCCCCCATCAGGGTACTTGCTGCTTCTCTTTGCAATGTGCTGCTATTGTGCTGCAGTCATCCTCCGTGCAAAAGTGCTGTGTTGACTGTCTCTTAGCGGTCACGCAAGCCTGCCCTCTAAACTTCCTAGCATGTTGCAAAGTCACAGGAAGAAAGTCAGCAGCTTTTCAGCTCCTCCCACAAAAAGGTTTTGGCTTTAACCACATTTACTAATGCTGTCTCTTGCTGCAACATTTAATTTTGCTAAATTTGTATCTCCCACCTTTACTGCTATATTATATCTTCACGCACACATTCCAGTCCCTCAACAGTTTACAACTGCCA